ATATATGAGAAATGATCCTATAGGATCCTCCCCCACCCAATTGCATAGGACCCCTGTAAATAGCTCTTGTGGGAATCTCAAGATCAAAATGGTGGCTTACCATCTAACCGGCTTCCCACCTAATTGCCGGTGTTTTCCTTTGCCTCTCTCTCTCTAAAGTACTCTTTTGAAACTCCCTCTTGCCTTTGCGAAATCTCTGCCCCTCTTTCCCGCTCTCCTCTGTGAAAGAGAAATGCCCCAAACCTGCTGCCCCAAGCCCTAGTAGGGTTACATTCTCTCTCTAAAGTAATTTTTTACTCAAGGCAAACAAAGGTAGCCCACTCTCTTCTTTGCGGAACTCTCTGCCCCAAGCCCCTAGCAGAGTTACCACAGCTGCAGATGCCGTTTTATCTCATGCTAAAGTGGAAGATCTTGGTCACTTTATTTCAGATTGGGGGCTCGATCCATTGCCAAATTTTTTCATCACAAGGTTTGGATGTTATCTCTCTAACAATATTTGGGTTTTTTCATTTGGCTTCTCTCTCTCTCTCTACCTCTATCTTCTTTTTTTCAAATGAATCAATACAAGAGATGAGTTCATTTGCTTGATTTAGGTGGGAGATTTGGGGGATCGATTCATTGCCATTGGGTTTTTTTTTCATTTGGTTTTTCCCTTGCTCTCTTTTTCTCTAGGTTAATCTCTACTTATCTCTTCCTAAAAGAAATGCTCTCTCTCTCTACAACAGATTTTATTTCAAAATTGTAGCCATTTTTCACCTTGAAAGACAAGAATTTCAATTTGCAGTTAAGTTTTTCCTATTTCCTGATTTTTTTTTTCAAATTTCAAAGGCAAAAAGATTTTTGCAGGAGTGTTTGGAGCACGGGCGTGAGCATTTCCACCCCTCTCTCTCTCTTTCTTTCTCTAACTTTCTCTCTCTAATATGAGTCTTTCTCCATCTCTCTCTTCCCCATATGAGCATTTTTTCCATTGCCCTCTTTCTCTAACTCTCTCTGTCTCTCTGTTTCTCTCTATCTCTATGGAGAGGGCACTGGCAATTTTGGGTTTACTTCCCCTATAACACATTCAGGTGAAACACCCATCGAACCCCCTGCTGAAGAACCAAATCGAGAGAAGGAAAGCAAAGTCCTGTAAATCAACAAAATGTGGTTAATTAAGCTGGATTTTCTGCATTGATGTAGTTTTTGGGGTTTGAATTTTTCCTTGAGCACTGCTGATTACTTTCTCCAATCAATAAGTTTTTCATTGCAATATACTATTACCGTGATAAATTATTGAAAATTATCTCTTTCTGCTGATTTGCTTTGAAAATTTATTGTAAATTATGGGGATTTGCTAATTTGAAGCAATTGATGAGTTGGCATATTTATTCTCTTGAAAATTTCCTTTAGTATTGTTAATTATTTAATTGTTCTCTCTCTACGTTATTCTTGTCAAGGGTTTACTGTTCTTTCACTTTGGTAAATTAATGGTAGTGCTGGATTATTACTATTTATTTTCTTTGGTAGTTTGATGGATGCTATGCAAATAATTGGGCTATTGCTAAATTGAAGCAAATGATGGGCTGTTGATTATTTCCTTGAATTTTTCCATGAGCCATGTTGATTCTTTCCTCTCTCTATCAGATTATTCACACATGATGGGTTAATGCTATTTCTTTGACTTTTGAATTTGAGAAACTGAATCAGTGGTGAGCTAATTACTATTTAGCTTAACGCTTTTGCTGCAAATTTTTGGATGCAAATTTTGGGTTTCTTGCCATTTTAATTTTGAATCTAATGATGTGCTATTGCAACTTTGAAGCAAATTATGAGCTGTTGCTGTTTATAGTATCTAATCTAGTTTTGTAATTTGATCTCAGTAGTGCTAGTTATGAAATGAGTTTGACGCAATTTGTTTTGTTATAGGGATCTAGAGGAAGAGTGGTGGGTTAAATAGTTTGATACTTTGATGCTTTCTTTTTTCTTTTATTTTTTTGGGTTTTTGCTAATTTGAAGTTGATGATGGGCTGCTACTAATTTGAATCAAATTATGAGCTGTTGCTATTTATTCCATTTACTTTTTCATAATTTGATCTTATTTATTGCTAATTTGCTAGTTTTTTATAAACTTTTTGATGTTAATTGTTTTGTTACAAGGATTTTTGCCGATGTGTCAATTGTTTCAAATCCTTCGGATTCGATCAGTTGATCATTTCTTTTGACATATGGCAACCGCTACTTGATTTTCTGTAGCCAAAGAGACTACAAATTATGTCCATTTATCTGTGTTTAAGCACGAGAAGTTACAATGTCATAGTGAGATGATTGCTCTTGTATGTGCACCCCACAAGTAAGTTACCAAACATAAGAAAATGATGACATGAGAAAAAACAAGCTTGAGATCACATTCCCTGTAAGTTGTTTTCATGGTTATTCAGTTTCATATTAGCATTTTGTTTCACATTAGCAAATTATTTTTCGCAACTCAAATAATGTCTTTTGAAGTATGTATGTTTTTATGGTTGAGTTGATGGAGTTTTCCAATTGGTGATGATATTTTAATTCTTTAAATGCAGTTTGATGCAACCACAAAATTGAGTTCCCACCTTTTTGGATGGATCCCTTATTTCTGTTGATTTGCTTTGAAAATTTATTGTAAATTATGGGGTTTTGCTAATTTGAAGCAATTGATGAGTTGGGATATTTATTCTTTTGAAATTTTCCTTGAGTATTGTTAAACATGCTAATGCTTCTTTTCTGTCTATCCTCTCATTAGCAATGCTTTTTACTTTAAAACATGATGGAACATATAACTCTTTTTGTTTTTGCTCTCAAATTAGACTGTAATTGTATCCTTTAATATTTCTATATTCTCAATTTTAGCTCTCTTTTTCATCTAATGACATGTATTAAATCACTTTCATTGAGCCCTTGTCGTCCATACCCGTTGATATTGATTTTTTATCCTGTTCTATATTGAGCCTGTTATTATTGTGGTGGAATAGAATATGACACATGATAAGTCATTTTTGTCATTCTCATTCCATGCTGCTGAGCCAGAAAGAGATACCAAAAAGTGATGGGGTTTCCTCCTTACCATGGAGGCAACCATTGAGGATCATTCCTTATGGTATGGTGCCAATGCGGAAGAAATCGATAGTTCTATCAAGGTGAAATATCTAGCATGCGCATGCGCAATTTAGCATGCGCATGGGAAATACAAAAAAAATTGGTTAGTTTTTTTGTTCATGTTGAAATTTGACCAATCTTTTTTTGCTTGTATTGAAGTCTGACCAATCATTTGAATGGCAACAGGCACCTGTAAAAAGTGTACATGAACTAGTGGAATCACATGCAAAAGGGAGCAGTAATGATGGTTTTTTGTGCTATAAACACTTGCAGTGAGGAAGATGAAAATGGAAGATTGGGAAGCTATCCAAATGAAGGAAATATTGCTTGTGAACCATTTGTGGGTATAGAATTTTCACTTGAGGAAGAAGTAAAATTATTCTATAATGAATATGCGAGGCAAATGTGATTTAGCATGCGCATGGGAAATACAAAAAAATCACATGAAGGGGTCGTGCGTGCTCGTAAATTTCTATGTTCAAGAGAAGGATTTTGTTCAAAGAAAGTTGATAGTGGAAAACCTACTCAGAAGTTCCAACACACAAGAGTTGATTGCAAAGCAATGATGAAAATATGGAAGAAAGGTATTAACAAGTGGGTTGTTACACGATTTGACAAGAACCACAATCATGTATTTGTGAGCTCAAGTAAGGTGCATCGTCTCCGATCGCATCAGGCTGTTTCTGAATGTAAGAGAAGTATTATTGATACTTTTCATAAAGTCGGGATTCCTACTAATAAGATTATGAATGTCTTTAGAGTAGTGTCTGGTGGAGACTTTAATTTAGGCCTAATGGATCGTGATTGTAGAAATGAGCTTAGAAAGCTTAAAAAGAAAATCCTTGACAATAATGCTCAATTGCTCTTAAATTATTTAAAGCGCATGCAAAGTGAAAATCCTTCATTCGTTTATGAAATTGATGTAACTGATGATGGCCATTTAGCAAATATTTTTTGGATTGATGCTAGGTCAAGGAATGCATATCTATGTTTTGAGGATGAGGTGATTTTTTATACAACCTATAAGACAAATAGGTTTAAAATGCCTTTTACCCCATTTACAGGAGTCAACCACCATACAAGTTCTACTTTATTTGGTTGTGCACTTTTGGGAGATGAAACCGAATCGTCATTTATTTGTCTATTTGAGAGATGGCTTTTAGCAATGAATGGTAAACATCCAATTATAATAATCATCGACCAAGACAAGGCCATGCAAGGAGCTATTGCTCATGTATTCATTCCCAAACAGTGTCCACTGTTTTGCAAATGGTACATCTTAAAAAAGGTCAACGAGAAGTTAGGTAGCATTTGCGCAAAACATCCTACTTTTGTTAGGGAGTTCCTTAATTGTATTAATTGGACCGATACAATTGAAGAGTTCGAGAGTTCATGGAGATCAATTTTTGATAAGTATGAGCTAAAGAAAAATAACTGGTTAGCATCGTTATATGATATTCGACAAAAATGGATACCAGTCTATTTGCGTGGTACATTCTTTACAAATTGCTCTACTATCCAGCGAAGTGGAAGTATGAACCATTTTTTTCACGGGTTTCTTAACTCTCAAACTACCTTGCAAGAATTTGTTCTTAAATATGAAGAGGCCCTCGATCACCGGTACAATGATGAATCCTATTTAGATTAAGTCACCTCTTACTCTACACCAACTTTGAACACAAGACTACCTATGGAGAAACAAGCAGCAGATGCTTATACCAGGACAGTGTTCCTTAAGTTTCAAAAGGAACTGGATGAAGTGATATCAATTGTGGCAAAGAAAATTGAGGATGGCTTCATCAACACATACAAGTTGACAACATATCAAAAAAATAACAAAGAATATATAGTTGTATTTGATGCCTCTAAAACACAAGCAACTTGTCGCTGCAAAATGTTTTGAGTTTTCCGGGTTTCTTTGTAAACATATATTAGCAGTTTTCCATTGTGAGCATGTTCAAGAAATTCCATCCTAATATATTTTGAAGCGATGGACAAGGAATGCCAAGAAATGGACTATAGTAAATGAGCACAGAAAAGGAGCGATGGGAAATTCCATGGATTCTCTATTCTCACGATTCAACTATTTAAGTCACGAAGCAATTAACCTTGCAGGGATTGGGGCGAAATCTGCACGTGTTTTTGATGTGGTGTTGTTAGGATTTCAAGAATCGAGGAAAAGAGCTATTCATGAGGAAAGTATTGAAAATGCATCACAAGTTTGCCTTATGGGCAATGCAAGTAACTTGGGAATAACTATGACAACAAGTGAAATAAATCAAGATTGTTTAGCAAGTAATGTTATACTGCAAAATCCATTACTGACAACAACAAAGGGCCGCCCTTCGACCACAAGAATCAAATCACCAGTAGAGAAGTCGCCGCGGAAGCTTGTTACATGTCGTATGTGCAACAAAGTGGGACATAATTCGCGTACTTATTCATTGTCAACAGGTAATGATTCACAGCTTACAGGGGTAAGATATTGATTATTTTGTACTTGTACTCTCTCTGTCTACTTTCTTCTTACTTTCACCAGTGGTATGAAAAGGTCTTTTATTTTCTAACTTACTTTACAGATTTCAATGATAGATGTCATGCGCACAGATAAATCCTCGAATGCTATGATTCAAGATTATAGTGGTGCCTTTTAGGTAAGATTTTATTATTATGGTACTCTTCCCAATGGCATACGTGCAAGCTAGTTAAATATATTTTGTTTCATATAATCATTTCTTTTATATATATCTATGATTTATTCTGCCCATGAAATTTTGATTTACTTACAGTTTGATGCAACCATAACATTTTGTTACCACCTTTGTGGATGAGTCCCACTTTTGTTATGGAAGTAGTCATTGGTATAGCCAACTCAGCATCCAATCCTCTCGCTAAAGAGGGAGCAACACAAAGCAACAAATACGGTATATTTTTTAGCACATGGTCCCTCAATTTTTTGTATATTAATTTCTTGTTTATATTTTTGATGTAAAGCTTTTTTTGAGCCCCTTTACGGGTTTTTGTATAGAACCACTAAGCTTAGAAATCCAAAGGATGAATGGAGTATTTTTTGAGCCCCTTTACGAGTTATGGGTCAGTAGAGTATTTGGTTAATGCTGAGAATGGTGAAGAAGAAGGGGACTTTATGAATGTACTTGTGCACAAATCTTTTCTTGTTTATTGAAAGTCGACAGATGTGAAAATGTGACTTTTATCAGCAATGCAACAATGTATTATACAATATAGCATGAGAGAGAAAGAGAGGGAGAGAGAGAGAGATTGCAAGCTATTTCACATTTTTAATTGATTCTAATGTGAATAGTGATCATCTTTGCATCGCTGACTTGATGAGCTTATGGGTTGTCTAATTGTAAAAAAACTAGAAAATCAGGTGTCCTAATTTGTTAGCTTAGGTGTTGTCTAAATAGGAACCCTATCTCACTCATTTCCCCTTGGCTGAACATGCAAGGAAGCCAAAATATTCCCTGCAAGTCTATGAAGAAATGCTTATGATGAAGTCTACACCAGACACATTCACTATGTATCGCTTATAAGAGTATGTGCGCATGGAAAAATTGCTAATGTCATTTACAAACCCTTGAAAAGGCGATACATCAAGATAGAAATTACAATTTAGTTCCTTACCCACAAATAGATTGCTCTATATAAATCCATAAATCCATCTATAGGAAATTACAATGTAGATCTCTACCCACAAATAGATTGCTCTATATAAAAACTTGCAAAGGGGCTAAAAAATGGTTTACATTTAAAATATAAGCAAGAAGTTAAGATACAAAAAATGGGGACCATGTGGTAAAAAATGCGCTTGAAAAAAGTCGCTTGTTTGTTGTCTTGTGTTGCTCCCTCTTTAGTGAGAGCATCACATGTTGAGTTGGGCTCTCCCAATAAGTAGCTGCATAACAAAAAGGGGGATCCAACCGAAAAGGTGGGAACAAAATATTGTAGTTGCATCAAACTACATTTAAAGAATAAATTATCATCACCAATTGGCAAAATCCATCAATTCAACCATAAAAACACATATACTTTAAAAGACAAATTATTTAAGCAGCGAAAATAATTTGCTAATGTAAAACAAATTGCTAATATGAAACGGAATTACCATGAAAACAATTTACAGGGAATGTGATCTCAAGCTTGTTTTTTCTCATGTAATCATTTTCTTATGTTTGGTACCTTGTGGGGTGCACATGCAAGAGCAATCATCTCACTATGACATTGTAACTTCTCGTGCTTAAACACAGATAAAAGGATATATTTTGTAGTCTCTTTGGCTACAAAAAATGAAGCAGTGGTTGCCCATATGTCAAAAGAAATGATCGACTGATCAAATCCAAAGGATTTGAAGCAATTGTAGCATCGGCAAATTCCACTCTCACTCTAGATCCCTGTAACAAAACCAAAAAGTTTATAAAAAACTAGCAAATTAGCAATAAATAAGATCAAATTATGAAAAAGTAAATGGAATAAATAGCAACAACTCATAATTTGATTCGAATTAGCAAAAACCGAAAAAAAGAAAAGAAAAAAGAAAGCATCAAAGTATTAAACTATTTAACCCACCACTCTTCCTCTAGATCCATGTAACAAAACAAATAGCATGAAATTCTTTTCATAACTACTGAGATCAAATTACAAAAATAGATTAGATACTATAAGCAACAACAGCTCATAATTTGCTTCAAATTTACAATAGCACATCATTAGATTCAAAATTAAATTGTAAGAAACCCAAAATTTGTAGCAAAAACGTTGAGCTAAATAGAAATTAGCTCACCACGACTCAGTTCTCAAATTCAAAAGTCAAAAAAAACAATTACCCATCATGTGTGAATAATCTGATAGAGAGAGGAAAGAATCAACATGACTCATGGAAATATTAAAGGAAATAATCAACAGCCCATCATTTGCTTCAATTTACCAATAGCCCAATTATTTGCATAGCATCAAACTACCAAAGAAAATCAATAGTAATAATCCAACACTACCATAAATTTACCAAAGTGAAAATACAGTAAACCCTTGACAAGAATAATGTAGAGAGAGAACAGTTAAATAATTAACAATACTCGAGGAAAATTTTAAGAGAATGAATATCCCAACTCATCAATTGCTTCAAATTAGCAAATTCTCATAATTTACAATAAATTTTCAAAGCAAATCAACATAAATAGGAGATAATTTTCAATAATTTATCATGGTAATAATATATTGCAATGGAAAAACTTATTGATTGGAAAAAGTAATCAGCAGTGCTCAAGGAAAAATTCAAACCCCAAAAACTACATTAATGCAAAAAATCCAACTTAATTAACTACATTTTGTTGATTTATAGGACTTTTCTTTTCTTCTCTCGATTTGGTTCTTCAGCAGGGGGTTTGATGGCTGTTTCACTTGAATGTGTTATGGGAAAGTAACCCATAGAGATAGAGAGAAACAGAGAGACAGAGAGAGTTAGAGAGAGAAGGCAAAGGCAAAAATGCTCATATGGGGAAGAGAGAGATGGAGAAACACTCATATTAGAGAGAGAAACTTAGAGAAAGAAAGAGAGAGAGAGGGGAAAAGTGCTCACGCCTTGTTCCAGACAGTCCTGCAAAAATCTTTTTGCCTTTGAAATTTGAAAAAAAAAATCAGGAAAAAGAAAAAACTTAAACTGCAAATTGAAATTCTTGTCTTTCAAGGTGAAAAATGCCTACAATTTTGAAATAAAATATGTTGTAGAGAGAGAGAGAGAGCATTTCTTTTAGGTAGAGATAAGTAGAGATTAACTTAGAGAAAGAGAAAGCAACAAAAAAACCAAATGAAAAAAAAACCTAATGGCAATGAATCGATCCCCCAAATCTCCCACTTGAATCAAGCAAATGAACTCCATCTCTTGTATTGATTCGTTTGAAAAAAAGAGATTTAGGTAGATAGAGAGAGAAGGCAAATAAAAAAACCCAATTATTGCTAGGGAGATAACATCCAAACCTTGTGATGCAAAAAATTAGAAATGAATCGAGCCCCCAATATGAAATAAAGAGACCAAGATATTCCACTTTAGCATGAGATAAAACGGCCTTTGTAGTTGTGGTAACTCTGTTAGGGCTTGCGGCATAGAGTTCCGCAGAGAAGAGAGCGGGCTACCTTTGATTGCCTTGAGTAAAAGAGTACTATAACGAGAGAAAATAACCCTGCTAGGGCTTGGGGAAGCAGGTTTTGGGCATTTCTCTTTCACAGAAGAGAGCGGGAGAGAGGGGCAGAGATTTCACAAAGACGAGCAGAAGTTTCAAAAAAGTATTTTAGAGAGAGAGAGGCAGAGGAAAACACCAGCAACTTGGTGGGAAGCCGGTTAGACGACAAGCCACTATTTTGATCCTATAGGATCATTTCTCTCTATTTCTCTCTCTCTCTCTCTCTCTCTATATATATATATATATATATATTCCAATTTTTTCCTAAATGTTATGTTGACATTCTACTTCTTTAGATTCTTATTTTCCAAATTTGCATCCCCATTTGAAATGTTGAAAGTCAAGCACATAGGCAATTTGAGGTCGCCACTTTTAAACTGGCCCTTTCAGGCCAAAGGGCTCAGATTGCTCGTTGGCCCTATTTTTGGATTTTTAATTTAAGAAGAATAAAGAAGTCAAAGCGCATGAATACAAAGAACAGATACAACACAATGAACTTTTTTATTTTTATATATTCAATAAAGGGGGTTGTCTGGTTTCTCTATGATGAGGATCTTGGACAATTTTGAATGTCCATAAGGAGAGCCTTTTAAAGCTTATTCAAGCTCCCGATGTCGATCAACTTTCGAAGTAGTTTGCAGTGAATTAAATTCAGGGAAAATTATAAACCCCCCCCCCCAATATACATTATTCACTCAACTTACCCCCTTCTACCCTTTCTCTCTCATCTTTTTCCCTTCAATGAGTTATCTTTGCAAAAACCCCTCCAACCCAAAAAAAAAGTAAAAAAGGGTCCAAAATACCATTTTCTCTTCGTACCCCTTTTCTACGCCTTCTGTTAGTTTTGTTTCACCCGACGCCTTCTCCCTCATGGCCTGAGCTCCTCTCCATCTCTCGTTTTTTCTCTCCAGTCCGAGCCCCCTCCTGTCACGCTCTCTCTCTCCGGCCCGAGCCCCCTCTTCTCACGCTCTCTCTTGTGGGTTAAAGCTCTCTTCCTCTCTCTCTTCGAAGGAACGCCCAAGCTAAGGCTCGAGCTCTCTCCGTCTCTCTCTATGAAAGATACCATTGGGCTCTCAAAATCTCTATCCCAGCCCAAACACAATAGCCCTATTTTGATTTTTAGCTTACCCCAAATCAGCCCCTTCTAAGGTAAATTTTAATTTATTTTATTTCATATAAAACAAAGCATATTTATTTATTAAAATTGCTCGAATATAAAACAAATTGTTCGAATTTGTTGTATTTGATTTGGCATTGACAATTAATCCGTTGTATTTGATTTGGCATTGAGTTATTTGATTTGGCATTGACAATGAATTCTGTTGTATTTGATTTGGCATTGACAATGAATCTATTGTTAGGTTGTATTTGATTTGGCGTTGATAATGAATCTGTTGATGGGTTGTATTTGATTTGGCATTGACAATGAATCTGTTGTTCTTCGAAATTTGTTGTATTTAATAAAATCGCTCGAATATGTTGGTTGGTTATTGTTCTTCGAAATTTTGTATTTGATTCGGCAGTGACAATGAATGCTTTGGTTTTTTTCTGTATCTTTCTGGGATTGACATTTCTCTAAATTGTTTTTTCTTTTTAAGTTCTAATTTAGTAGCAATGCCAGTCCAAATTGATATATTCTATTTTTAGTTTCGTGGTATTATTTGATCTTGTCATTTTGGTGATTGCTTGCTCCCCATCTTCCTATGAGGAGGCACTATTTCTTCTTTATGGGTGATTGCATTGGTTTGTAATTGTATTCAAAGAGTTCTTGAATGTAATGGGAATGTTGTGGAAGAGGAGGTCCCAGTTTCTTCCTATCCTCGCATTGTCTTTTTCTTCCTTGAGTGTTCTATTACATCGATTAAATCGGGCATAAATAATTAAGATATGTTGTTGTATTATTATCTTTTGGTCTCTTTGCATATTTTTATTTTGCTTAGCATATAAAATCGAGGTCTTGTTTCATATCACGAAGCATATTTCTCTCTCTCTCTCTCCAACTGAAATGAAAAATGAATATGCTATGAGATTCTAGTTGCCAGAATTACTCTTTATAAGCACTATAAATTTTGTATGGGAAGCATGTTATTCATTTTCAAAGGTTCAACATACACCTTTGTTGTATAGTGAGAATTGATACTGAGAGTGAGGATTAGGGTGAGATAGCATTTGTATAATGGCTAGAAGAGATATTAATTGGACTTTATTTTTGTTAAGTTCTACTATTTTATAATTCTTAGAGTGAGAATTAGGGTGAGATAGGATGAAGTTGATGGCGAGAGTGAAGATTAGGGTGAGATAGCCGTTGTATAATGACTATAAGAAATATTAATTGGATTTTATTTCTGTTTAGTTCTACCATTTTATAATTCTAATTGTATGCGCATTGTAGAGTTAATTATATGTTAGTTCTCAAAAAAAAAAAAATTTGTATGCACATTGTGTAGAAATACAAAAAGTGTTGAAAGCGAACTCACTAGAAGAGAACAGATGAATGAATTTATTATTGTGCTTTGGAAATGGGTTTTAGATCATTTGACAATGATTGTATATATTAACTGAAGAATTGCTTGTGTGAACACCTATACTCAATTATTTCCTTGAAGCAATTCCTTTGCATCACAATTGCTTCCATTTCTTGTTGCCATTGCAACAATTTTGATTTTAACTCCTTTGGGTTTGTTTATTTGTGGGGTGTAAATTATTACAAATCTTGTATAGGACAAAAGAAAATGAGTGATAGAAGATTAATTTATTGTATTTTTGGTTGAGAACTCCAATCAAATATCCATGGGACTTTGGATTATATTGATGGTGATGCATGTACATTTATGATTGAAAGTAGAACTAGGTTAGATGACCTGCGAAAATATGTAGCAGAGCATTCCTCGCTAGATATACATTTGATATCATTGAGGTATTTTGTCCCGAGAAATAGAAGATTTATTGTAAATCTATTCATTGACGATGATATTGAGAGAATGTTGAATGCACATGAAGGCAAGAATGACATCTTGGTTTATGTATTAGATGGGAGTGAACAAAGAGGTGCAAGTACTTCACATAATACAAGGGCAATCAAAGACGTCAATCCTCTAATGATTTGGTTTCTATTTCTGAACAAAGCAATGCACCAAGGTTGCTTAGTTCATGAGAGGATGCACTTACCGGTATAGACCAACAATTAAATATCTAGAAGACTTCTGAAAAGCCTTTAGCAAGTTCGCTATGGCGCACCATTTCACTTATCGTCTTGTTAGTATCACATAAGGGCAAAATGCAAGGGTGATAGATGCAAATTGGAGATATATTCTTCAAAGTTTGGCAAGACGAATGTTTTTAGCATCAAAACATAGAAAAGAGAACACTCATGTAATATTGAGACAAGCAATGATATATAAAGAAGAGCGTCATAAAAATTTATTGCATCTTTAATCAAGGATAAATTAAGTGACACTGTGCATTACAAGGCTACAGAAATCATGAATGATTTGTTGCGAGATTATAGGCTGTGAATATCCTATTGCAATGCTTGGCGAGGGAAAGAAACAGCCATCAAAGATATACATCGTTCGCAAGAGGAGGCATACAACCAGTTACACGCATATATAAGCTGTGTGATGGAGACTGGTTAGGTGCCTCAATCTCGCCCTCCGGATCTAGATGATCTGGTGGCATGTATCTTGGGATTTAGGGAACCCAGGATTTGAAATTGCTCTCTCGGAAACCTTGCTCAAGAGTAAGGGCAGGTATACCAACCGATGAGAGAGGAATATAAGGTTGGTTCCAGACTTACTCGGGTTGGCTCGCATGGGCACCCTCTTAGATCACGAAGAAAGCCCTCCAGTTACTTCAACTGGTTCGGATTTGCTTCCCTTGACATGTGATCACCTTGTTTTTTGCACAGCTTTAACATTGTTAATTTTCAAGACAAGTGGGCCAAAGGGATCCACCCTCGTCTTAGGACAATGTTCGTTATATGAGAGAATGATGAAGTGGAAGTTTCAAATAGAGATAGAAAAGAGAAGAAAACTTGATGAAGGGATGAGACTAGCATGATAGCTAGACAGTGACCGACTCAGAGTGGTAGCAAGACGAGCATGGTACTTAGGACTAGCACGATGACAATACTGCTCGACAGCCAGACTGTTACAGCTGTGCTAGGCTGGGTCTACCCTCAGCTAAGTGACAAGAGAAGAGGATGGAAAGATGGCGCGAGACGGCGAAGGAATGGGGTCCCAACAGCGCTAGGAATCGCCACCCTCAAACATGGAGTAGCAATGTCATGGCTGGTTAGGTGCCTTGATCTCGCCCTACGGATCTAGGTGATCTGGAGGCGCGTATCTAGGGTTTTAGGGAAACCAGGACTTGTCTCTCGAGAACCTTGCTCAAGAACAAGGACAGGTATTACCAACCGATGAGAGAGGAATTTAAGGTGGGTTCGAGACTTACTCGGGCTGGATCACGTGGGCGCCCTCTTAAATCACGAAGAAAGCCCCCCAGTTGTAAAACTGGTTCGGAATCGTCTCCCTTGGCTTATATTCTCCTTTTTCTGAAATCACACACATATGGCAAATGTTACAAGACAAGTGGGTCAAGGGACCACACCTTGCATTTGGGTGAACGTACACAGGCATGCACATTCAAAAGAGGAGAAGAATGAGAGGATGAAGATTGGGGTGAGAAGATTTTTATCGAGCGATGAGACCGATACAGTGACCTGACTAGTAGGTAATTGACTTGTCATGGTAGTAAAACGGGCTCGGTAGCTCAGACCAGCTCGACAGAGTTACCACTAGACGACCGTACCAATACCGACTAACTTGACATGATGGCTTATCTGTCGTGGCAATAAAGCGGGCACAGTAACAATGACCGGCACAACAACATTACTGCTATATGACATGACTACCATTACAAGGCTAGTCTGAACCCCTCTTGATCAAACGAGAGAGTAAAAGAAAGAAGAGGGATCAGAGAGAGAGAGAGAAGAGAATATAAAAAAGAAAGGAAATAAGGGGAATTAAAGAAGGAGAAGAGAAGAGAAGAGAAAATAAAACGGAATAGAGAAAGAGGTGAGACAGAGGACCATAAGAGAAGAAGAAGATATGAATAGAAAGAAGAAGAAAGAAGAGCATAAGAGATGATAAGGAAGAAAGAAAGAGGAGGAAGAAACAAGAGAAGAGCAGAGAGGAGTAAGAGAGAGAAGGAAGTGGGAGAGAGACACAGACGACAATGAGATAGGAAGGAGGAAGAAACTCACACGGTAATGGACCTCCGTTTGCTTGGACAGAAGAAGAGGGAAGGAAAGACACATGTGGCACCAGGGCTTCGCCGTATGGGTTAGGAGAAAGGAGAAAACACAGGCGGCGCTTGGGGTTCACCGTTCGGGTTAGAAGAAAGGAGAGAGGAGAAAACACAAGTGGCACCAGGGCTTCGGTTAGGAGAAAGAGAGAGGAGAAAACACAAGCTTCACTGTCTGGGTTAGGAGAAAGGAGAGAGGAGAAAACACAGCCAGTGCCAGGGCTTTGCTGTCTGGGTCAGAAGAAAGGAGAGAACTCAGGCTGCACTAAGATTTCGCCATTTGGGACAGAAGAAAGACGAGAGTGAGAGCACAGATGGAAATGGACTTTCGCCGTTTGGGATAGGAGAGGGAGAGGGGATTTTGACAAAGGCCCGACCCGCCATTCAGGCTAGGACCCGACCCACTACTTGTGTCTCATAAACAAGAAGGCATCATACCAGGCAAGAGGCACACCATGGATGGATGAAGGAAAGAAGGAAGAACATAGACGTAATAGACCAGAGGAGGAAGAGAGAGAAAGAGATCAAGACGAGGAGAAAGAAGAGAAAAAAAGAGAGAGATAGACAAAGAAGAAGAGAGAGAAAGAAAGAGAGATATAAATGAGAGAGAAAAGAAGAGAGAAAGAAATAGAGATAGAGATGAGAGAGAAAAGAAGAGAGAAATAGAGATGAGAGAGAAAAGAGGATAGAGAAATAGAGATAAGAGAGAATAGAGGAGAGAGATAAAGATGGGAGAGAAAAGAGGAGAGAGAAATAATGATGAGTGAGAAAAGAGGAGAGAGAAATATAGATGAGAGAGAAAAGAGGATGAGAGAGAAAATTACCTTAATGAGGGGTACTTGCCC